CTATCATTTGGAGAAATGACATTGGAGATGAATATTGTCAACATTTGCAAGCAACTTGGAGATGATAATGATTTACAAGAAGTAGATCATTTTAAAGAATTAGTTTATGATCAACTTGAATCTACTTTAACTAAAATTGAGTTGGATGAATCTGAAAATTTATAAATAATTTATTCTCAAGAAGAAATTACTGATGAAAAAGGCACAAAAAATATTGATGTGAATCTTTTGTTAAGAGTGACAATAGATTCAACATCCTATATCACACAAATCGATGATTACTTTCATAACGAATCCTTACTTTCTCTTAAATCAATGTCTTGGTTTACTAATTTTTTCAATTTTCTTTCCTTAGAAGATTTGCCAACTCATTGGAGTACCGAAGACAAAATTAAGTTTTTAAACGAAATGAATAACTTTTATTGGGATGACCCTTACTTATTCAAATATTATCCTGATCAAGTATTTTGAAGATGCATTCCTGACAATGAGGTAAGTAGTGTCATTAAGTTTTGTCATTTTGAGGCATGTGGGAGTCATTTCTTATTAAAAAAAAATGATTGTAAAAATCTTACAATATGGATTTTATTGGCCCAACATATTCAAGAACACTCATATATTCTGCAAAACTTGTGAGAATTGTTAAAAAGTTAATACTGGTCAAAGGGTTTTGCTTTATAATTCTCAACTCCATTTATTTTCTAGAGAGCTAAGATCAAGATGGAGCGATCTATTTATTGAGAAACATGTGTATATGAGGCTTTTGATATTGAAAATTCAAAGAATGATAATGTTTTTAAGGTAAATAGACATAATTTTAAAGTTTACTTTGATAATTTTCCTAGTAAAAATAAATCCATTGGTTTGAATGATTTTGTAAATAAAAGTTGATTATTTTGTTTTTCTCACATTGTTTTTATATTTTTTTTGTGACTCTTGGTTTGCTAGTCTCTCTCACCCCGGTTGAATGACAAATAATGGTATTCCATGACTCCTAAGTTAGTTCTTTCAATTTTCCATAATAATTGATATCTATGTATATTTTTGTTCAATTCTTTGTTCCTTTTTTTTGCTTTGCATCTCTTTTCCACTTCTCATCTTAAAAAATGGACACCACTCTTGAAAAATTTTAAAAATATTTTCCCACTTTGTCTTAAAATGAGATTACAAAAATTTACTAAGCTAGGTATGCAAGATTGAGGTTGTTAATAAACCATGGAATTCTTGAAGAGATTCGCTGGCTAATTAAAGCAAAGGTCTGTTTATCAGGTAAGTCCTCCAATTTCTTCATTTCAAACATGCTTGGAACAGGTAAAAAAACTTTTGCAAAGAAACATTGTGCAAAACGACTGAAAGTCTGTCACAGATGTGTCAGATGGACTTATAATGCAACATGTCGTTCTTTAGAAATGGTATCTATAAACCGTGAAGATAAAATATTATTCATTAAGGATGGCCTGAGTAAAGGGTCTTTAGATAATCTTTTATTGACTCTTGAGACGCATCCTAGTGGAAATGTGCATCGTGCAATTCATGATTTATGACCACTATTCCATAAAAAACATGTTTTGTATTTATTATCTTGTTCACTTTTAATACTTTGCTTATTAAACATGTTTTGTATAACCTTTGGTACGAGAACTACTTGGCATTTTTATAGCCCAACCGTATGGTATAACCGACACTTGTGCTATGAAAGGAACTTGATTTGTTGTTAATAAAAGTTAGCATCATGAATACTTAACAACATTTACAAGTATTTATTGTAAAACAATATATTCAAAGTATAAAACCCTCTTAACTATATATATTTTCAAGACATGTCCATTTATTTTTAATTGTAAATGAACTTGTCTCGAGGAGGTATATGTAGAAACAATAATTTTCTACCAATTAAATTTCACCATGTGTGATTTTTATTTTATTTTTATATAAAAAGATGAAATAAAATTCAAATAAATAACATGGAAAATAAATGAGTCTTTATATATTTTTTGGCTAATGAAAGGTTCACACATGGTTTGAAATATTTAAAATATTTGTTCATGAATACAAGATCTCATAAATTAAAATTAACCAATAAATACTATCAGGTAGCAATAGAAACGAACCCAAGAGCCCCTGCAAATCTCTACAAATAAAGGGTCTCATCTTAGACAATAAAAAAAGAAGAATCCTTGAAAATACAAATTTTTTTTCAACACGAGCTTTTCAAATAAGAAAACTCTAAAGCTTTTTTTCATCTATGCCTGAAATCTACAAAGAGTGAAATTTTGTTGGATTAAGCCTAATGCTTCCAAAAAGTGTTTCAACAACACTTTGAACACAAATAAAAAATACTATTCAAAGTATCAAATTATCTTAAATTAATTTTACAAATAAATCAAGTCACAATATATTAAATCTAATGTAAGAATTGGAGGATTGTCTTATTCTTTTGTAAAAATATTTAAAATAAAAATGATATCCGATCATATATTTAATAAAATTAAATATTTATATATTTATATTTGTTTAATTTTAGGTGTTAAAAATTGTATCTGCAAGTTTTCAAAAATTTAGGTTGAAGTTGGTTGTTTGGGGTGGCTGGATTTGTAAGATAGTTGTGGGGGGCGGGGGCACCTTCTTTTGTTTTGAAAAAGTTAGGGGAGAGAGAGAATTGTCGGGTTTTATTTCATTTAGATTTTTCAACTGAATATTTATTGAAAATACCAATGTGTTATAATTTCAATAGAATTATTAATGATTTTTTTTCTATACCATTGTAATTTCCATAAGAAATTATCAACGAAATATATTCTCTCATAATTTACATCCGCAATTACAAACATATATTTTCCATCAAAGTTTCTATTTTATTTGCCACTTCTTATTAGTGATTGTTTATAAAGCTTATGTTTGTTTGGTTAGAGGATTAGTTAGCAAATTAATATAAGGGGAAAGAGAGAATGGTCGGGTTTTATTTCATTTAGTTTTTTCAAGAATGTCTATTGAAATACTAATATATTATAATTTCAATAAAATTATTAATTATTTTTTTATTTTTTCTATACCGTTGTAATTTCTATAAAAAATTATCAACGAAACATATTCTCTCATAATTTACAACTACAATTACAAACATATATTTTCCATCAAAGTTTCTATTCTATTTGTCAACATTCACAATTACAAACATATATTTTACATCAAAAATTCTATTATATTTGTCATTTCATATTAGTGGTTGTTTATAAAGCTTATATTTGTTTGGAGAGGATTAGTTAGCAAATTAGTATACTCACCAGAACACTTTCAGGAAACATTTTTAATAGCTTCGTTCACAAGTCAGAAATGATTGATATGTAAGCTCTAACTTGACAAAACAATATTAGAATGAGTTATATATCCTGTAAATATTATGTAATTATAGAGAATTAGTCTTATAATAATTTTGGGAAATAACAAGTGGTAATTATTAATTTTTTCTAAACAACACCAACAATATACTACATTTTAAAGTACAAGAGAAAAACTAAATTTATTATATTATGAACTATATTATAGATATAAAATGTTTGTAATATGCATAATATTGTAGCACCCATGAAGCGTTGTCTTTTTTGTTTATTAGTTAAAAAGAGTTGTTCATTCTCCCAACTAGACTCACCAATCTTGGATCTTGTTAGGTAGTCAAATCCAAAGCTATTGAATCTAGTTGGGCTGTTAGATATTTTTAATTTTATATTTTTATCTTTTTAATTTTATTTATTTATTTTCATACGGTAAAGAGAAAATAAACTGATGAAACTTTTTTTATATTGTACAAAAGTTAGGTGATGATAATGCTTTTATATTTGAGTTGGGTTGAATTTTCTTATTAAAACATGTTTCTTTTTGCATTTCAAAAATACTTTTAAAAAAATCTAATTTTTATTTTATTTTTTTACTTCAAATTAATATTTTTTGATGTTTTTATATGATTTTGATATGATGATATATAAAATAATTTTTTTAAAAAATAAAATAATATTATCTCAATATATATATATATATATAGTTTTTAAATATTTTAAAAAATAATACTATGAACATAGACTCATTCCATTATGGACCATACCATAGATATAAAGTGTTTGTACTATGAACAACATTGTAGTAGTTAGAGACATTCTCTTTTCTGTTTATTAGTCAGAAAGTGTTGCTAAATCTAGTTTGGCCGCTGGACCCAAGGCTATTT